CCGAAACAACTAAAGTCAAAACCTTTAGAGATCCTGGAGCATATTGCTCACTTATAAGAGAGGGAATATTACCCCTTTCAAAGAACACTTCCTTGAATTCTTCTGTTTTATTGGAAGCATTTGGAGGAGCTATATATTCTGTCCCTTTGCATAAAATTTATGTACAGTGCAAATATTACACTTGGTACTTGACTGAGGGTGTATCCGAAGGATTCCCCCTGAAAGATGCCCTGTTATTACTGGGGAATAACATTACTACTGCTAGTGTATGTCCTGAATCCATAATGATTAATTCTTCCCCGGTGGTGGCCATAACTCGGGCAACCTCCCAAGGGTTGTCTAGCGAGAATGTTGCCCTTCCTTGGACGACTCCGATCTCAGAATACCCAAACCGTTGTTTTATGAGTCACACCGGCCGGAGCCTCTTTTAGATCAAGTGAACAGACCAATAAAAGCCTTCCTATTCCAAGGTTGCAGGATTGCCAGATAATCTTTTTTCCATGCCCGAGGGACTGTCCTTCCGGGAGGAGCAACAAAAGGGAAACCATTCTCTAAATTTCGCTTTTCAGGCAGCCATGGTAAATCCTCTTTGGATCATCCGGTCAAGTATAAACTTAAAAATGACTATTTGATCTGCATTGAGACTGGTAAGGAGATGGGAGGGCCAGAAAATTGTCTGACAGGTTAGTAGTTCCAAAAAAGTTTAGACCTCAAATTTTGAATATAGCTCATAATACTTCATTAGGAGGTCATTTAGGAATTACAAAAACCTTATATAGAATACAAAAGAATTTTATTGGCCAAAATTAAAGCGGGATGTGAAGAATCTTATCCGGTGTTGCCGAGAATGTCAGCAAGTGGGGAAAAACCTGGACATTCCATTAAACCTGCACCTCTCCAACCTATACCCGGGATGGAGAACCTTTTTGGGCAGATTTAATTATAGATTGTGTAGGTCCACTCCCTAGGTCAAAGTCGGGAAAATCAGTATTTATTTACCATAATGGATAGAGTAACTAGATATCCTGAAGCAATTCCCATGTACAGTATTAATACTAAAGCTATTCTCAAAGCTTTAACAAGATTTATTTCTTGTTTTGGCATTCCTAAAACTATTCGAAGTGATCAAGGTACTAACTTCACTGCCAAAGCATTTAGGGAAGCATTAACTAGGTTAGGGATAATCCACAACTTATCCACTGCCTATCATCCTCAGTCCCAAGGCACCTTGGAAAGATTCCATCAGATGTGCATTTTCCTACAGACTGGGATGAATCACTATCTTTGTTGCTGTTCTCAGTAAGAGAAACGGTGCAAGAGTCTACTGGGTATAGTCCGTTTGAGCTGATCTTTTGGGGACAATGAACGAGGTCCTTCAAGGGTGCAGGTGGCACATCAGTTAGCCAAGGCTAACCTAAAGGCAGCTCAAAATAAGATGAAACAGAGGTATGACAGAAATGCACAATTCCGCTCCTTCCATCCAGGAGACAAGGTGTAGGTGAGGAACCTATACCTGGCCACACCTTGAAAACTAGATTTACGGGACCTATGCAAATTGTAATAAATTATCTTTATGTAAATTATGTGGTATCTCTCCTTGATTTAAACCTCAAAAACTAAAACTTACCACATAAATCAATTAAAATCTTTTCAAAACACCAGATAAAGTCCCAGTAATGATCTGTCCTCTTCCTCTGAGGACGACTCTGACTCTTTGCACTCTATTTCTGAAATTAATGTTAACTTCCAAACTCTGTCCTCCTCAAGGACCCTAGCCCTTTAATGGTGGGGCTGTCGAAACTCAAGCAACAAGTTTAACTGCGCTTCTACAGTCTACCCGATATTTTTTCAGATGTGCCGAAAAAATTAACGTTAGGTTATCGGGATGTAGATCTGAGAAACTCCTAACCTATTAAACTCTCCACCTACAGAGCTAATCCTGAAAGCAGGACTACTTCAGCAGGAAGTAGAATTTCTGTTAGAGCATGGTTTAGCCGAGTAGTAGTCTAGTCCACGGGCTTCCACCGTGCATCCTTGTTAAAAAAGCTGATGGAGGGTTTCGTAGTGTACAGACTACCGTAAGGTAAAAGAGGTCACAATCACAGATGCTTACCCCCTTCCTCGTCTGGATGACGTAATTGACCCTTTTTGGGTAAGGTACTTTTGTATCCAAGTTAGATCTCCTTAAAGGTTACTATCAGGTACCTTTGACAGATAAGGCGAAGGAAATCTCTGCCTTTGTAATTCCAGGTCATTATCAATATACAGTTACCCCTTCAGAATGAAAAACTCCCCCCTCTTCATTCCAGAAACTTATCGATCAGGCTATTAAAGGACTTGAAGGACAGCTTTACCTGGTGATATTGTTGGGGGTGTCTGATATTTTGGGATCAACACCATTTAACTTAAGGCTCTTTTTAAGCCCTTTCGGATTTCCCCCAATTTAACTTTAATTTTTCTAAATCTTCCTTTGGCCAGGCCGCTGTTACTTTTCTGGGCCATGAAGAAAGGTAGGGGCCCAAATTTTGCCCCAAAACTTGCAAAAAGTTCTTGCCTTTTAAAGTTTTATTATTCAATGATAGGAATCTTTTTAAAATTTTTCCTAGGCATGAAAAGGTTTTTTAAAAAGGTTTCCCTTTAAGAATTTTAGATTTTGTAGCCCCCTCTTACCTCTCTTCCCAGCCCAAAAATTTCCCCTTTTAAATTTGGATTTCATTTCCCTCAGGAGTTTTACAAAGCAAAAAGTTTATTTTTTGTACTGAAAACCCATTTTTTTGTCCCCCCAAGACTTTTTCCAAAAACCTTTCTCATTACGGGTTTGAGGGTTTTTGGGAGTCGGGGGGTTGGGGGAAAATTCTTTGAAAAAGGGGGGCCCAAAGGGAATTTGCAGCCTTTTTCCTTCCTTCTGGGCCCAAGGGGTTCCGCTGCATCACAGGGTTTTATTTCTACCTTTAAAAAAGAAGTCCCCTCCTCTTTACTGGTTTTTGGGCACTTTAATTAAAACATGGACAAACTTCCAGGTGGTCACGGGTCTCCAGTGATCAAAAACCCCTTTTAGTATATCCCAAACCATGAAAAAAAACCCCCAACACAAGGCTCATGTATGGACGAAAGGGACTCCCAACCCTTTTTTCCTGAAAATTTTGTACATATTCCCGGAAAAGAAAATATGTTGGCAGACTTTTTATTAGGGGTTTTTAAACAATATTATTTATAATTTAAATTAAAAATTTGGTTGGGATTTTGTTAGTTTATTGTGGAAACCCCCCTTCCCAAGCTTTTTTTTTTTACCCCCGGGGGTTTGGGGGGGTTTTTTTTTGGTGGGGGGATGCGGCAAACCGCCCCGCCCTGCTTTTGGACCTAAGCTACCCCCCGACTGTCTGCTGCCCTCGCTCTGTTTTTTGGGTTTTGGCCCTTTTTGTCCACATAAAAAACCCCTGGGGCTTCTATCTAAGTTTAAAGGGTTTGAGGGGGAAAAGGGGGTCCCATTATTTTGGGGCCATGGGGGCAGGGCTTCCCACTGGGATTTGGGAGAAAACCCCTGAGCCTTCTGGGGGTGGGGGTGTGGCATGAAAAAGAGTATTTAAACCCTTTTTTTCGGCGCATGTTCACACCCTCATTTACTGGCCCCTATCCCCCAAAACCAGCGAAAAAAGGTGGCTGAGGGTTGCGTGGGGCCCCCCCCGTCTTTCAACCAGTACCCCAAGGTTCCACCCAATGGAAGAGGGTTTTTTGGAAAATTTTTGAAAGAGGTTATGGGGGTTAACCATTTCCCCGGTCTCCCCTTGTAAAACCCCATTCTAGGGGCTGGTTAAAAAGCACGTTCCCTCTCTATTTGGCTTCTATTCCCCCTTGCTTTCCCGGGGTGGAGTGAAATTGTAAAAAAGGGCCCTGAAAATTTGTGAAATAAGTGTACTTACTTCTTTTTCTAAACTCGTGAAGGTTTTTTTAAAAAGCAAAAGTTTTCGCTTGTTTTTTTTTCCCCCCTTCCCTTTACCCCCAGGATAAAGGCTTTTTGGACTCCTGGGTTGAAAATACTAAGGGCACAAAACAGTGCTGCAGCAACAAAAGAGAAAAACCCTTTTTTTCTATATACCCAATATGATTACAAAGTACAAATAGACCTATATAGGGAAAATCATTGATTTTGATGATGTGATAGATGATTTTGCAGGACTGAAGGCAAGGAAATGTAAGATCAGATTCACTGAGATGTTATCTGTACTCCAAGTCAAATGGGAACTAGTGTTTCTCTGATATTGCTATGTTTTTCTTTACTTTTTAAGTTTATTTTTTTTTTTTTTTTGCATTGTTGAAGATGAATAAATGTAGGATCTGTTGCCTGTACTCAAAGTGGTTTTTGAGTTCATGTTTCCTCAACATTACTACGATTATTTATTTTATCATTAATAAAGTTGAGAGGTATTCTGTTTGATTTATGGCCCTTAAACATTCTCATTGCTAAACATTAGTCACTGATCATGCAGTAGTCAAGTAACTGGAGTTTACTTCCACCATTCTGCCACCCTTGGATTTCATAGGGTTGACACCAAAGATGCCGCCCCGGGTTACACCAACCCTAGCGACGCCACTGCTTCACAACACTCATGACTGCACCTGATCTTCACAACACTCATGACTGCACCTGATCTTCACAACACTCATGACTGCACCTAATCTTCACAACACTCATGACTGCACCTAATCTTCACAACACTCATGACTGCACCTAATCTTCATAACACTCATGATCGTACCTGATATTCACAACACTCATGACTGCACCTGCTAACCTCCTCTTCACTTCTCTCTCTCTCTCTCAGTTTAGACTTAATAACATAAGAAGTGAAGAACAACACATGAAAATCATTTAAAATTATTTCTTTAAAAGTCATTAGTTGTGAATGCTGTGATTTACTCTTCATCGTACATCATAATAAACTACTGCACGATAGTTTACCTGCGAGGATAAACAATGCATCTTGGTAAACCTCAGTTACCTGTTCATTAATGGGTGATGGAGCGTAGTCTGTTGTAAACTGCTGCACTAGTTTCTCTCTCTGGCTAGATATAACATCATAGGCCTTTAGGCCTTGCGACCGACACACTTGCTCCCACACGTTGGGATTATCACTCACTAATTGGGAAGAAACAAAGTTATATTTTAGTCAGGATGGCGAGTGTTACCAGCAAGCTTGTACATCACAACACTTGTCACCAACAAGCTTGTACATCACAACACATACTTACACCAGTAAATTACTTTGCTACCAATAATAATATCCAACAAAATGGAGTGTCCATCATCCCCCCTCCCTCAAAAAAAAAAAAAAAACCTAGCAGACAAGTACGGAAAACGCAATACGGAAAACTAAAACTATTAGGAATCAACAATGAACACAGCCATATAAATTATTTACACACCACATACATTCAATATAAATGTACGACACATATTTATATTCAATTTTACTTATTTAAACACTGCTGTGTCACCAAAAACTTTCACATTACATCCCTCAAAACATTTCTTAACACAAATCTGCATCCATCTTTTCTACAAATTCTGCAGCTTGCAAACTTAATGAAAATTATACAATATATTTTTCAGTCTCAACCTGATTGACAATTTTCATTATTTTATTATTTACAAAAGTTACTTACTTTCACTGCTCTGATAATAGTGTTTTAGCAAGATAATAGTGCTCTAGCAAGATAACAGTGCTCTAGCAAGATAATAGTGTTTTAGCAAAATAATAGTGCTCTAGCAAGATAATAGTGCTCTAGCAAGATAACAGTGCTCTAGCAAGATAATAGTGTTTTAGCAAAATAATAGTGCTCTAGCAAGATAATAGTGCTCTAGCAAGAATAGCACTCTATTAAGGTAATAGTGTTTTAGTAAGATAATAGTGCATTAGTAAGATAATAGTGTTCTAGCAAGATAATAGTGCTCTAGTAAGATAGGCCTGGCATTTCTGTTTTGAAAGGTGTAGTTATCCAGCCTATCATTTTCCTTAGGGTTGTCACCGTATTGCTAAACTGTTGTAATTCTCAAACTTCATATCTTCTAGCATTATTGCTAAGCCTCACACATTTTTAACACTGAGTGATTTGAGTTTGTTTTACTCTTCATTAAAGCATTTTACTCAATTTTCCTAGCTGAATTTCAAATTGTTTTCTGTGGCCCACTGGATATTTGGTTTATGTCAGCTTGGAGGAGAACTGTCCTCGATGGATACCACTAGTTGCAAACTTTAATATCTGCAAAGGTAATACAGCTCCATGATTAGTAGAGCTGTCTATATCAGATATGAGAATAAGAAAGAGAAGTGGGCCTGTACTGTGCCTTGAGGAAGACGTTTTCACTGTGGTGACCTCAGATTATACTTTGCTGATTACTACTTTTTAAGAATGATTTGTCAAAATAAATTAGACAAATACCTGCCCACTCTTCCAGTACTGTATTCCTTTTGTTTGTATTTTACATGTTGTTACACCATGATCACACTACTGGTAAATGTTTTTCACAAAGTGTATATCAGAGCTCCCTCACCATTTGTGACAAAGTATTTCTAGATGCAGGCACATGAAACAAACCCATTAAAACATGTAAAATGTAGGGATTCCTTCTCATGATTTGCCAATTATGCATTTCTTGACTAAAAGCCTACCAAATAAATACAAGCTTATCATGTAGGTAACAAACAACTGCATGTGTGATACGCAGAGTTTACTTCGCATCACACATGCAACTGTAGTCATACGCTGAGTTTACTGCTTTCTCTAATGCTTCTTAATTTTTCTTTAAGTAAAACAAAAGATTTCATGTAATTACTTAACCTTTTCATTATCGAGACCCCTGCTCACAAACCTGCTCTCAGTGTTGAAGGATTTAAAAAAAAAAAAAGAATATATGTTTTCTCATGAAACGAGAGAGAATCTTTTCCCGATGGCAATGACACCAAGAATATGAAATTTTACAGAAAACTTACGGAATTATGCTCTCGCAAAGTTAGCAGTCTTGGCAATATTTAAGCATTGGCGATCTCGCCCTATTTTAGGCTAATTTCATTCTTCCAGTAGACCAAACTCATACCTATTTTGCTAGAACTCCATTTGTTCTATTGATCGAGTACAAGAAACAGCCCATTTACCGATTTCAACTACCCAACAAAGTGATCAGAAATTAGTAATTTGGCCAATTTCATACACAAATCAAGTAAGGCCAATTTCAAAATAGGGTACAAAATTAACAACACAAACATTCCATTTTAAATTTTTAAATTTTCCATTTTAAATTTTTATTCACACAAAAAATAGAAGATTTACAGTTATGCAGACTACTGCATTATTGTAAAAATGGTATTAATAATATCAGCGCATTTGTGAAAGCATATTAGACCCACCAGTTGACGTGCATTGGACATATGACACTTATTTACTCTTGAACATCAGCAAAAATTGAACATTTCTGCTACTTTGAGCTCAATTTCAAGGTACTTTTAGTTTGTAAACCATTCAAAATCATGTCTATTTCTGTAATATATCTTCCATTCTATCAAATGAAACCAAGAAAATGAGAATAAAACCATAAATAGTACCATACAAAAATACACCAAAATGTCGGTGTTCTAAACCAAAAACAGGATCAGAGTTTTTCTTTCTCGTTATGCAACGCATGCTGCAGGATTTTTTTTTTATATTGCGCACACTGACCACTCAGACCCATTCTCTCAAATGTAAGCCTACCAGCTTTCTTCTGCAAGACTGGAAGCCGCTAGAATTTTGGAATAATATTACGGCATCAACACTGGCTTGCAAGCCATATTATTATAGCACCGACAGTGAAAAGGTTATATGCTTCAAAATCAAATACTCAGCAGTCTGTTTAAACTTGTGAATCTAAACTATACTGGAACAAATACCCAGTTACTGCTGTTTGTCTCATAAAATTCAATTTGTAATTGAAGTTATAAAAGATTGACTTACCAAGGGATGGGTGGAAGGCTGTTGGTAGAGCTAAGAGTGCCAAGTGTTCTTTATGTGCCTTGTTATGGTTGCTGGGAGAACATATAGTAACGAGAGCTTGAGCCACCCCAGCTGGACTCAGCTCTCCTCCTCCACCTCCACCCCCAGCATCTTGTTCTTCTCCTTTCTGTAACAAACACAATACTCACATTTATTAAAAGCTTTCTCATATAAAATATATATTAATTCACAAATAACCCACAGCTTGAACAAGATGACAGACAATGTTAGTTGGTCCCGGACCATTATCTTGTGTTAATGGTTCACATGGTCCTGGACCATTATCTAGCTTTACCTTCAACTATATGATACTATTAACTTGTTCCAGCAATGATATTGTGATATATTCCATATACGTAAATTATTTTTTTTAACACGTTAGCCGTTTCCCACTGAGAAAGAGTGACCCAATAAAGAAAAAAACCAGAAGAAGAAAAAACTTTCACCATCACTTATACAGTGGTCCCTAAATTATCGTCCTTAATCCGTTCCTGGAAGTGGGACTATTATCAAAATAGACGATTTTCGAATCAATTTTCCCCATAAGAAATAATGTAAATCCAATTAATTCGTTCCAGACACCCAGAAGTATCAACATTTTTTTTTTTACCTAAAAGATAGATTTACATGCACAAAAGAATGAACATTCAACATGACAGTTACCTTCATTGAAGGTTGTTGTTGATGAATGGAAGACAGGGAGGAGGAGAGAGGGAAGAGAGGTTATTGTTTGGAAGGGGAATCCCCCTCCATAAGGACTCTAGGTCACTTCACGGGTCACTTCCCTAGCATAAATATAGATTTACATGCAGAAAAGAATGCCAAATAAATGTAAAGCACTAATAAAATGTATAAATGAACACTGGTAATAGGGGTAGTTGACGAGTGGAACGGTGTGCCTAGTACGGTGATCGAAGCTAAAACATTGGGTAGTTTCAAAATTTAGGTTGGATAAATACATGAGTGAGGGGTTGGATTAGAGTCAGACTAGCACCTGAGCTTATTGCTTGGGTAGCATTTGTTCTGTTATTGGGTTGGATTTGTGAAGGACCAGCCTAGTATGGGCCAGCAGGCCTACTGCAGTGTTCCTCCTTCCTTATGTTCTTATTGAAGACTTGTTTGTGTGAGGGAGGGATGGAAAGTTTATTGTTGGAGAATATGACACTAATATCAACTCTACGGCTTATTTATCTATCACAATTCAACTAATATGACATAAACAATATTAATAACATTGAAACATGGAATATACTCTAGAATGAATAAAATAAGTCATTACGTATGTCACGAGAGGTGTTGTGTTGTGCTGTTGTTGGGTGTATAAGGGCCACTGAGAGTAAGCCGTCCATAATGGTGGTGAAGCAGCAGCTGAGGCGGTGGTGTTTTCTGTAGCCCTATATAACTCCAACAACATTGGAGGAGTTGGTAGAATCGCTGAATCACTAAAGAAGGAACCCTCTACCACCATCACTATGACCTTCTACAACTATTACAACTGTTACCACCATCACTCCTACCTTCTACCACCATCACTACCACCCTCTACCACCATCAACCACTATCACAACTGCTTCCACTCTACCACCACCACCTTTGTATTTTTCTACAAACTTTTTCATAAATTATGTGTTTCTCACATTCTTTGCCAAAGGGCTGGCACTAGAAGCTTTCTTTGGAGCCACGGTAGCTTATTAGCACTTGCAAGCACTAAAATCAATGGAATATTATGAAATATTTCGTAAGAGCAAGTGAGGGGACTGTCGCTCACTGGTAAACAATGGCACACTAGCTGGGAAGGAAGGCCCAGGCGGCTCAGAGCGTGAGTACGCGTCCCGGACGAAGGACGAAAAGCGAGTTAACGGACCATTTGCGAGCCAATGTTTAGACGAAATAACGGGACTATTTCCAAAATGGACGACTTTCAGGCCGGACGATTATTGAGGGACCACTGTACATAATCACTGTCTTCACACAGGAGCTCAGATATGACAGCTTAGACGTCCCTCCAAACTGCCAATATTCCAAACCCTTCCTTAAAAGAGCAGGCATTGTACTTACTATTTCCAGGATTCAAAGCCGGCTAACCAGTTTCCCTAAATCCCTTCACAAAATATTATCCAGCTCACACTCCAACAGCTCGTCAAGTTCCAAAACCCATTCGTCTCTATTTACTCCTATCTAACACGCTCCTGCACGCTTACTGGAAGTCCAAGTCCCTCGACCAAAAACCTCCTTTACCCCCCTCCAACCTCTTCAAAGATGTCCCTACCCTGCCTTCCTTCCCCTACAGATTTATACACTCTCCAAGTCATTCTACTTTGTTACATTCTCTCTAAAGGACCAAACCATCTCATCAGCTCCTCTTCAGCCCTCTGACTAATACTTTAAGTAACTCCACACCTCCTCCTAATTTCTACACTCTGAATTCTCTGCATAATATTTACACCACATATTGCCCTTTGACATGATACCTCCACTGCCTCCAACTGCCTCCTCACTCCACTGCATTCACAACCCATTCTTCACACCCACATAAGAGTGTTGGTATCACTATACTCGTACATTCCCTTCTTTGCCTCAATGGATAACTTTTTTTTTTTTCTCCACACATACCTCAAAGCACCACTCACCTTTTTCCCTTCACCAATTCTATGGTTAACCTCATTCTTCATAAACCCATCTGCTGGCAAGTCAACTAACAAATCTCTGAAAACATTCACTTATTCCATACTCCCTCTCTCCAATGTGATATTCAATTTTTCTTTACCAAAATCGTTTGATACCCTCATCACCTTACTCTTATCTATGTTCACTTTCAACTTTCTACCTTTGCACTCCTTCCCAAACTCGCCAACTAACCTTCGCAACTTTTCTTTAAAATCTCCCAAAAGCACATCACCAAAAAGTAACTGTCAACTCATATTTTATATTTGATTCCCCATAATTTAATACCACCCCTCTCCCCAACACTCTAGCATTTACTTCTTTTACAACCCCGTCTATAAATACTGTACATTAAACAACCATGGTGACATTACACATCCCTAAGACCTACTTTTACCAGGAAGTAATCTCCCTCTCCCCTACACACCCTAACCTGAGCATCACTATCCTCATAAAAACTCTTTACAGCATTTAGTAACTTACTACCCATTCCATACACTTGCAACATCTCCCACATTGCTCCCCTATCCACTCTATCATATGCCTATTTTAAATCCATAAATGCAATGAAAACTTCCCTATCTTTATCTAAATATTGTTCAATGTAAACACTTGATCTACACATCTCCTACCCACTCTAAAGCCTCCTTGTTCATCTGCAATCCTACTCTCTATCTTACCTCTAATTCTTTCAATAATAACCCAACTGCACACTTTACCTGGTATACTCAATAAACTTATTCCTCTATAATTTTTACAATCTCTTTTATCCCCATTCCGTTTATATAAAGGAACTATACATGCACTCTGCCAATCCATAAGTACCTTCCCCTTTCATACATTTATTAAACAAAAATATCAACCACTCCAACACTATATAACCCCCCTGCTTTTAACATTTCTGTTAACCCTTAAACTGTCCAAAGTTAGATCTACATTCACTTGCGTAGTGCTCTGAACGTAGATCTACTTTTATTTTTTTACATTTGAAAGCACGTAAAATAAAATGTAGATCTAAGTTTGGAACACTATGCAAGTAAACGTAGATCTACGTTTGGACAGTTTAAGGGTTAAAAGCAGGTGCTTTACCCCTTCATTCTACGTAATGCCTCATGCACCTCCCCACACACTCACATCCTGCTCTTCACTCCTAGAAGATGTTATACCTCCCTGGCCAGTGCATGAAATTACCGCCTCCCTTCATTCATCTAAATTTACAACTTCCTCAAAACATGCCCGTCATCTACCCAATACCTCCAGCGCCCCATCAACTAACTCCCCTACTCTGTTTTTAACTAACAAATCCATTCGTTCCCTAGGCTTTCTTAACCTGTTTCCTCACTCCAAATTTTTTTCTTATTCTCAGCAAAATTTCTTGACAGTGCCTCACCCACTCTATCATTTGCTCTTCTTTTACACTCTCTCACCAGTCTCTTCACCTTTCTTTTACTCTCCATATACTCTGCCCTTCTTACATTACTTCTGCTTTGCAAAAACCTCTCATAAGCCACCTTTCTCTCTTATTACACCATTTTCTTCATCATTCCACCAATCACTCCTCTTTCCTCCTGCACCCACCCTCCTATAGCCACAAACTTCTGCCCCACATTCTAATACTGCATTTTTAAAACTATCCCAACCTCTTCAACCCCACTCCCACTATCCGTATTTGCACTAGCCCACCTTCTGCCAATAGTTACTTATATCTCACCCTAACTTCCTCCTCCCTTAGTTTATAAACTTTCACCTCTCTCTTATTTACTGTTGCCATTTTTCTTCTGTCCCATCTTCCTCTTACTCTAACTGTAGCTACAACTAGATAGTGATACGATATATCTGTTGCTCCTCTATAAACATGGACATCCTGAAGCCTACCCATCAACCTTTTAATCATAATCCAACAAACTACTTTCATTATGTGCTATATCATATCTTGTATACTTATTTATCCTCTTCTTCACAAAATATGTATTATTACCAAACCTCTTTCTACAGATAGTTCAATTATTTTTTTATTATTTCCCACCAAGGCAGGGCAACCAAAAAGAAAAAAAAATTCAGCATCATTCACTCCATCCCCAATGGAAATTAGTCACTCCAACTTTTTAGGGTTATCCTAGGGTCTCTACACATATCCTGCTATGTATGATAATCTATGCCTTTGCTTATTCCTTAATGAACTTACTTATTTACTTACTTATCACTGCCTTGCCAGATGCGTGCTTACACTACAGTTATAAAACTGTACAGTGCAGGCACTGTACTTCCCATCTCCACGACTCAAGTCCAGCTTGCCGGTTTCCCTGAATCCCTTCATAAAGGTTACCTTGCTCATGCTCTATTCGCTTCTAACGCGATTACGCATGCTTGCTGGAAGTCCAAGCCCCTCGCACGCAAAACCTTTACCCCCCACCCTCTCCAACCTTTCATAGGCCGACCCCTACCCTGGCTTCCCTCCACTACAGATTTATACACTCTCCAAGTCATTCTATTTCATTCCATCCTCTCTACATATCCAAACCATCTCAATAACCACTCCTCAGCCTTCAGGATAATAGTTTGATAATCCTGCACCTCCTCTTAATCTCCAAACTTAAGGGAAAAACAGCTAGAAGCCATTTAAGAAGGCTAGTAACCACTAATTTCCTAACTACACATTGCTGTGACATTAACAAGCATTCACTTTACCAGAGTACTAGTAAGAACTTACACTGAATATCTGCTTAACTCAGTTTATAAACACAATGCTGCATTACAAACTTTTCACTCATTAATAAATGATCAATGAAAAGCATATGTATCCCTCATGTACATTAATAATTTGTTTTATACTTTCCTTTCTGAACAACAAGGTGCATTAATGGTTCCCTGGATCCTCACACACTCACAATATGGTGTGCTTATGGTTCCCTGGATCCTCACATGCTCACAATATAGTGTGTTAATGGTTCCCTGGATCCTCACACACTCACAACATGGTGTGTTAATGGTTCCCTGGATCCTCACACACTCACAATATAGTGTGTTAATGGTTCCCTAGATCCTCACACACTCACACCAAGGTGTATAAATGGCCCTCTGGATCTTCATCTTTGTCACCTGCTCTCACACTAAGGTGCTTGAATGGGAAAGTAAATCAAGAGGAAAAATAACTACTGTTTTAGGAAGTGCACAGAAAAGCAGCAAAGATAAATGTACACTGAATGCTAGCTAAACATTTACCTGCCATCTTACATGCTCAAGAAACAAAAAAAAATTTTTATATGTACCAAGATGTGGTACAATCTAGTGCACAATGATGACCTTTTGCCAGGCAAAATATTCAGCAACAGCAGTGGCCTTAACTAGCCCAATACTGCAAGAAAGTATAAGTACTCACTAGAATCTTGAAGTTAACAGTCAGGGTTGACAGGGTCTTCAGAAGATCTGCAGCAAGCACTACTCCTCCTAAGGAAGACACAAGTTTCTTCGTGGTGGCCTGAGCCAATATTCGAACTTTAGAGTGAGGACATACCAGACACCACACAAGTGCTTGATGAACGGCAGGGCTGTCATTGCCAAGGCGACCAGCATGCTGAGATAACAGTAACTCACACCAAGTTACTAACTGCAGTAAACCTGCAAAATGATGACATTACAATAATATTACTGTAGTAGGTTGGTAGACAGCAACCACCCAGGGAGGTACTACCGTCCTGCCAAGTGAGTGTAAAACGAAAGCCTGTAATTGTTTTACATGATGGTAGGATTGCTGGTGTCTTTTGTCTGTCTCAAATATGCAAGATTACAGGTACGTCTTGCTACTTCTACTTACACTTAGGTCACACTACACATACATGTACATGTTTATTAATACACACTCATCTGAGTTTTCTTTGATTTTATCTTAATAGTTCTTGCTCTTATTACTTTTCCTTTTATATCCATGGGGAAGTGGAATAAGAATCTTTCCTCCGTAAGCCATGCGTGTTGTAAAAGTCAACTAAAATGCCGGGAACAATGGGCTAGTAACCCCTTTTCCTGTAAAGATTACTAAAAAGAATAAGAAGAAGAAAATTGTCAAAGTGGGAAGTCTGAATGTGCGTGGATGTTGTGCAAATGATAAGAAAGAGATGATTGTGGATGTTATGAATGAGAAGAAACTGGATGTCCTGGCTTTAAGTGAAACAAAGCTGAAGGGGGTGGGAGAGTTTCAATGGAGAGGAATAAATGGGATTAGGTCAGGGGTTTCAAATAGAGTTAGAGCTAAAGAAGGAGTAGCAATAATGTTAAAGGATAAGCTATGGTGGGAAAAGAGGGACTACAAATGCATAAATTCAAGGATTATGTGGAGTAAAATAAAGAAATGGATGTGAAAAGTGGGTTATAGTAAGCGTATATGCCACCTGGAGAAGAGAGAAGTGTAGAGGAGAGAGAGAGATTTGGGAAATGTTGAGTGAATGCATGGGGAGTTTTGAATCAAGGTGAGAGTAATGGTGGTTGGGGATTTCAATGCTAAAGTGGGTAAAAATGTTATGGAGGAGTAGTAGGTAAATTTGGGGTGCCAGGGGTAAATGTAAATGGGGAGCCTTTAATTGAGCTATGTTTAGAAAGAAATTTGGTAATAAGTAATACATATTTTCTGAAAAAGAGGATAAATAAAATATACAAGGTATGATGTAGCACGAAATGAAAGTAGTTTATTAGATTATGTATTGGTGGATAAAAGGTTTGATGGGTAGGCTCCAGGATGTACATGTTTATAGAGGGGCAACTGATATATCAGATCATTATTTAGTTGTAGCTACAGTTAATAAGAGGTAGATGGGAAAAGAGGAAGGTGGCAACAACAAGTAAGAGGAGGTGAAAGTGTATAAACTAAGGGAGGAGGAAGTTCGGCGAGATATAAGCGATTATTGGCAGAAAGGGGCTAGTGCAAAGATGAGTAGTGGGGGGGTTGAAGAGGGTTGGAATAGTTTTAAAAATGCAGTATTAGAATGTGGGGCAGAAGTTTGTGGTTATAGGAGGGTGGAGGCAGGAGGAAAGAGGAGTGATTGGTGGAATGATGAAGTAAAGGGTGTGATAAAAGAGAAAAAGGTAGCTTACGGGGAGGTTTTTACAAAGCAGAAGTGTTATAAGAAGAGCAGAGTATATGGAGAGTAAAAGAAAAGTGAAGAGAGTGGTGAGAGAGTGCAAAAGGAGAGCAGATGAAAGAGTGGAGAGACTGTCAAGAAATTTTAATGAAAATAAGAAAAAATTTTGGAGTGAGGTAAACAAGTTAAGAAAGCCTAGGAAAGTATGGATTTGTCCGTTAAAAACAGAGTAGGGGAGTTAGTAGATGGGGAGAGGGAGGTATTAGGTAGATGGCGAGAATATTTTGAGGAACTTTAAATGTCGAGAAGAAAGGGAGGCGGTAATTTCATGCACTGGCCAGGGAGGTATACCATCTTTAAGAGTGAAGAAGAGCAGAATGTAAGTGTGGTGGAGGTACGCGAGGCATTACGTAGAATGAAAGGGGGTAAAGCAGCTGGAACTGATGGGATCATGACAGAAATGTTAAAAGCAGGGGGGATTATAGTGTTGGAGTGGTTGGTACTTTCGTTTAATAAATGTATGAAAGAGGGGAAGGTACCTAGGGATTGGCGGAGAGCATGTATAGTCCCTTTATATAAACGGAAAGGGGACAAAAGAGATTGTAAAAATTATAGAGGAATAAGTTTACTGAGTATACCAGGAAAAGTATACGGTAGAGTTATAATTGAAAGAATTAGAGGTAAGACAGAATGTAGGACTGCGGATGAGCAAGGAGGTTTCAGAGTGGGTAGGGGATGTGTAGATCAAGTGTTTACATTGAAGCATATTATGTGAACAGTATTTAGATAAGGTAGGGAAGTTTTTATTGCATTTATGGATTTAGAAAAGGCATATGATAGAGTGGATAGAGGAGCAATATGGCAGATGTTGCAAGTTTATGGAATAGGTGGTAAGTTACTAAATGCTGTAAAGAGCTTTTATGAGGATAGTGAGGCTCAGGTTAGGGTGTGTAGAAGAGAGGGAGAATACTTCCCGGTAAAAGTAGGTCTTAGACAGGGATGTGTAATGTCACCATGGTTGTTTAATATATTTATAGATGGGGTTTATAAAAGAAGTAAATGCTAGGGTGTTCGGGAGAGGGGTGGGATTAAATTATGGGGAATCAAATTCAAAATGGGAATTGACACAGTTACTTTTTGCTGATGATACTGTGTTTATGGGAGATTCTAAAGAAAAATTGCAAAGGTTAGTGGATGAGTTTGAGAATGTGTGTAAAGGTAGAAAGTTGAAAGTGAACATAGAAAAGAGTAAGGTGATGAGGGTATCAAATGATTTAGATAAAGAAAAATTGGATATCAAATTGGGGAGGAGGAGTATGGAAGAAGTGAATGTTTTCAGATACTTGGGAGTTGACGTGTCGGCGGATGGATTTATGAAGGATGAGATTAATCATAGAATTGATGAGGGAATAAACGTGAGTGGTGCGTTGAGGTATATGTGGAGTCAAAAAACGTTATCTATGGAGGCAAAGAAGGGAATGTATAAAGTAATAGTAGTACCAACACTCTTATATGGATGTGAAGCTTGGGTGCTAAATGCAGCAGCGAGGAGACGGTTGGAGGCAGTGGAGATGTTCTGTCTAAGGGCAATGTGTGGTGTAAATATTATGCAGAAAATTCGGAGTGTGGAAATTAGGAGAAGGTGTGGAGTTAATAAAAGCATTAGTCAGAGGGCAGAAGAGGGGTTGTTGAGGTGGTTTGGTCATTTAGAGAGAATGGATCAAAGTAGAATGACATGGAAAGCATATAAATCTATAGGGAAGGAAAGAGGGGTAGGGGTCGTCCTCGAAAGGGTTGGAAAGAGGGGGTAAAGGAGGTTTTGTGGGCGAGGGGCTTGGACTTCCAGCAAGCGTGCATGAGCGTGTTAGATAGGAGTGAATGGAGACGAATGATACTTGGGACCTGACGATCTGTTGGAGTGTGAGCAGGGTAATATTTAGTGAAGGGATTCAGGGAAACCGGTTATTTTCTTATAGTCGGACTTGAGTCCTGGAAATGGGAAGTACAATGCCTGCACTTTAAAGGAGGGGTTTGGGATATTGGCAGTTTGGAGGGATATGTTGTGTATCTTTATACATATATGCTTCTAAACTGTTGTATTCTGAGCACCTCTGCAAGAGCAGTGATAATGTGTGAGTGTGGTGAAAGTGTTGAATGATGATGAAAGTATTTTCTTTTTGGGGATTTTCTTTCTTTTTTGGGTCACCCTGCCTCGGTGGGAGACGACCAACTTGTTGAGAAAAAAAAAAATAAAAATTACTGCTGTTGGAGTGTGAGCAAAGTAACATTTATGAAAGGGTTCAGGGAAACCGGCAGGCCGGACTTGAGTCCTGGAAATGGGAAGTACAGTGCCTGCACTCTGAAGGAGGGGTGTTAATGTTGCAGTTTAAAAACTGTAGTGTAATGCACCCTTCTGGCAAGACAGTGATGGAGTGAATGATGGTGAAAGTTTTTCTTTTACGGGCCACCCTGCCTTGGTGGGAATCGGCCAGTGTGATAATAAAATAATAAAAATAATAATAATAATAATAATGAGGTAGTAGGTTGGTAGACAGCAACCACCCAGGGAGGTACTACCGTCCTGCCAAGTGAGTGTAAAACGAAAGCCTGCAATTGTTTTACATGATGGTAGGATTGCTGGTGTCTTTTGTCTGTCTCATAAATATGCAAGATTACAGGTCCGTCTTGCTACTTCTACTTATACGTACTAAGGTCACATTAAACATACATGTACACGTTTATTTATACACACTCATCTGAGTTTTCTTTGATTTTATCTTAGCTCTTGTTCGTCTTTTCCTTTTATATCCATGGGGAAGTGGAATAAGAATCTTTCATTCCGTAAGCCATGTGTGTTGTAAAAGTCAACTAAAATGCTGGGAACAATGTGCTAGTAACCCCTTTTCCTGTAATAATTACTAAAAAGAATAAGAAGAAAATTGTCAAAGTGGGAAGTCTGAATGTGCGTGGATGTTGTGCGAATGATAAGAAAGATATGATTGTGGATGTTATGAATGAGAAGAAGCTGGATGTCCTAGTTTTAAGTGAAACAAAGCTGAAGGGGGTGGGTGAGTTTCAGTGGAGAGGAATATATGGGATTAGGTCAGGGGTTTCAAATAGAGTTAGAGCTAAAGGAGGAGTAGCAATAATGTTGAAGGATAAGCTATGGCAGGAAAAGAGGGACTATAAATGTATTAATTCAAGGATTATGTGGAGTAAAATAAAGGTTGGATGCGAGAAGTGGGTTACAGTAAGCGTATATGCCCCTGGGGAAGAGATAAGTATAGAGGAGAGAGATTTTTGGAAATGTTGAGTGAATGTGTGGGGAGTTTTGAACCAAGTGTGAGTACTTGTGGTTGGGGATTTTAATGCTAAAGTGGGTAAAAATGTTGTGGAGGGATATTCACAAACAACGAGGAACTGATCAGAGACATAACAGTTTCCAAGACTATTTATTCTGATCATAACATCATAGAGGTTCAAACTAGTATTAATTCAGGGGTAGGAAACTGCATCACTAAAGTTAGAGACTGGATGTTCAGTAAG